GGCTCTTAAGGAGTCGGCCACGCCAGGGATCGAGACATCCTGACAGTCTAGACTCGAACGGGCAAGTGTCCCCCCCTCCTGGCGACCCCATGTTGACGCACCATAAAACAATGCCTGATACATCGCGGCAGTCATGACTCCTAACAGGAAAGGAATCGGGGACGCCAAACGAACGAACCAGTCGATACATACTCATAATCTGGGCTCGGACGGCCGAGGGCCCCCCCCTGCCAGCTCTTCTTTCCAGGGTGCCCAAGTCCGATGCCTCCGATGCTGCAAGTGTCATGAAGGGGAAGCGAGTATGAGCACCAGTGGATCTGAGTGTGCACTTGTCGTCTGGGTATGGATAATATGAATACAAATGAATATGACCGTGAGTGGATCTGGTTCGCGTGAGTCTGGGCATGAGTGAATCTAAAGATCAGTGAGCCTGCATGTGCATGATCGGAAATATGAGTGACTAACAACAACAACAACAACAACAACAACAACAACAACAACAACAACAACAACAATCACTTTACCCGAACGCTCAGTGTTCTCACCAGTGCCAGGGTTTTCATGCGACGCCAGCCAATACCCCCACTTTGTGGGGGGGCAGTGCAAGCTCTACCAAATATCCACACGACTCTTCGCCACCACCCACACCCAGCTTCCCGCCCTATGACGTTCGGACACTTCACTTCGTGGCCTGCGGACGACCGTGGCTACTACACTGGCGTGGAGTACACACCCACAGAAGTTGTTAGGACAGCGCGCGCGGGTGGAAATTTTGAAAAGTCGTGCAGCTGTTTTTCGAGGACCTACGGTGCGATTCGTGTGATTTTATGATGCGCGGTGGTAAAATTCTTAAGAACCCAATGGTTTTTGGAGATTTCGGCGTGCGCGCGCGAAGAAAAAACGAATGTGTCCCGCATGGTATTATTTGACAGGGATGATGGCCCTGGCAGGTGCGCAACCGTTGTCGCAGAAGTTCGAAAAAGTTGCTCGCAAAAGCCCGTTTGACAGAAATGTTTAAAAAGTGTTGGGTTTCCTACGAATCCGCAAGAGCGCGCGGGATGAGATTTTGACATTTTTTTGTTGAAAAACCATTGGTTTTTTGATGTTTTTATGTTAAAATCGTTCCGAACACTAAGCTTTTGGAAGGATTTCGTCTTGCGCGCGCGAATGTCCACTTTACCTTATTTTTTGCAAGGGATTCTTGAAATTTGATTATATTAGAACAAGAAATGTCATTTTATAGTGTTTTTTGCAAGGGAAAGCGGGGGGGAACAAAACAACCGGATCTTGATCACATCGAATTACCTGAGGCTTCCTCACGAAAATGATGAAAATGTAGCTGCGGCCTAGGCGGCGCAGGGGGGCCGTGCACCAGGGGCCCCAACAATAATTATTCTTTAGAATTAATAATGTTCAACAACAACAACAATAACAATAACAACAGCAACAACAACAACAATCAGTTTAAGACTGATCGCTGCTATCTGTTTGAGTGCCCGTTAACGCGTGTTTCCCAAACCCTCGATACCCGCCCTCTTCGTCTTCGATCGTAGACCCTTTTGGGGGGTATACATTTTTTCCCTGCAGGCCGAGCCCCAGCAAGCAGCGAGGCGGCCGCGCACCGTCGGACTGGCCAGGGGCAGCGCTGATCGGCGGCAACCCGACCCCAAGAGGGACGGACAGGGGAACGACCACGACGACGACGACGACGACGACGGCGACGACGACGACGACGGCGACGACGACGACGCCGGCGACGACGACGATGACGAGCGAAAGCGACAGCGAAAGCGAGAGCGAGAGAGAGAACGACAGCACGGCCACGAAGGCCATGAAATAGGCCACGAAGGGCGACAGTGGGGACACGAAGGGAATGCGTATGGGGCCACGAAGAGCGCGAACGAGCGGGGGCCACGAACGGCAAATAATGCGGGGCCACAGAAGGCAACGGCGGGGCCACTGAGGGTAGCAAGTGGGCCACGTAGGACAGCAAGGGGGGCACAAAGGGCGACAGCGGGGCAACGAAGGGCATGCACATGGGGCCACGACGGGCGCGAACGAGCGGGGGCCACGAAGGGCGTATGTACATTGGGCCGCGGAGGGCAAGGACGGAACCACTTAGGGCAGCAATGGGGCCACGAACGGCATGGAGGGGGCCACGAAGGGCGACAGCGGGGCCACGAAAGGCATACATATACGGGGCCACGAAAGGCAGCGAGGAGGCCACGAAAGGGCTGCAACGGGGCCACGAAAGGCAGCGAGGGGGGCCACGAAGGGCTGCAACGGGGCCATGAAAGGCAGCGAAGGAGGCCACAAGGGGCTGCAACGTGGCCACGAAGGGCAGCGAAGGGGCCACGAAGGGCTGCAACGGGGCCACGAAGGGCAGCGAGGCGGATACGAAGGGCTGCGAAGGGGCCGCGAAGGGCAGCGAGGGCCACGAAGGGCTGCAACGGGGCCACGAAAGGCAGCGAAGAGGCCACAAAGGGCTGCAACGGGGCCACGAAAGGCAGCGAGGGGGCCACGAAGGGCGACAGCGGGTCCACGAAGGGCAGCGAGGGGGCCACGAAGGGCCGCAACGAAGCCACAAAGAGCAGCGAGATCCCGATTCTGGAGGAGTCCTATGCGTGAGCGCGACTCCTGGGTGCCTGAGTGTCGGGAACGCGGCGCTTGAGTAAATTGCGGAAAATTCCCGGGCAAGGGCGCCAATCTCGAGTAAATTGCAAGCAAGTCTCGAGCGAGAGCGCGACTCCAGAGCGCCGAGAGAGCGATTCCTTAATCAAATTAAGAAAGCCCCAAGCGAGAGCGCGATTCCTCAATATAATGCGAGAAATCTCAGACGGGAGCGGGGGCTCTGGCTAAATTGTGAGGAAGTCTCAAGCAGGAGCCGTTGTTGTTGCAACCCGGGGGCCAGGGGCCCAGCTCGACGAATAATACTTTCCCTATATAAAACCGGGTGCGAGCGCCGGGAGGGGCACTTCACTTGAAAAATACCATGTACACCGGACGGGAGGGACCAACGAAAATCATTCTTCAGTGGTGAAAATGCAACAACAACAATCAGTTTAAGAGTGTTCGCCCTTATCTGCTCGAGTGTCCAATAACGCGTATTTCCCAAACCCTCTATACCCGCCCTCTTCGTCTTCGATCGAACCCCTTTTGGGAGGTATACCTTTCTTCCCTGCAGGCCAGGCCCCGGCAAGCGGTGGGGCGGCCGCGGACCGTCGGCCTGGCCAGCGGCAGCGCTGATCGGCGGGACGGCCGCGGACAGTCGACCCGAACCCAAGAGAGACGGACACGGGACCGACCACGACGACGACGACGACGACAACGACGACGACGACGACGACGGCGACAACGACGACGACGGCGACGACGAGCGAAAGCGAGAGCGACAGAGAACGACAGCACGGCCACGAAGGCCATGAAATAGGCCACGAAGGGCGACAGCGGGGACACGAAGGGAATGCGTATGGGGCCACGAAGAGCGCGAACGAGCGGGGGCCACGAAGGGCAGATAATGCGGGGCCACGGAGGGTAACGATGGGGCCACTGAGGGTAGCAAGTGGGCCACGTAGGACAGCGAGGGGGCCACAAACGGCGACAGCGGGGCCACGAAGGGCATGCACATGGGGCCACAACGGGCGCGACTCCTGGATGCCTGGGTGTCGGGAGCGCGGCGCTTGAGCAAATTGCAAATAATTCCAACGCAAGGGCGCTTTTCTTCAGTAAATTGCAAGCGAGTCTCCAGCGAGAGCGCGACTCCACAGCGCCGGGAGAGCGATTCCTTAATCAAACTAAGAAAAGGCCCAAGCGAGAGCGCTATTCCTGAATAAAATGCGAGGAAGTCTCGGGCGGGAGCGGGGGTCCTGGCTAAATTGTGAGGAAGTCTCAAGCAGGAGCCGTTGTTGTAACCCCGGGGACCAGGGGCACAGTTTGAGCATCAAGACTTTCCCTGTCAAAAAACCGGGTGCGAGCGTCGAGGGGCACACTTTGATTAAGAAAAAGCAAGATGCACCGGTGGGGGGATCAACAACAATTATTCTTCCGAACTGAGAATTCAACAACAATAATAACAGCAGCAGCAGCAACAACAACAACAACAATCGTAATACCCTCATGTGCGATGTTTCCACACGCACCATGCGACCATCATGATAACCATCCCCATCATGGGAAAATATTGTTTTCATCGCGGGGGTCTGTTATTCCCATTCCCAGATCTCCCGCCAAATCAGGTCTTGCACACCCCCTCCGAGGAATTTCAACATATCCCGCCTCGAAACTACATGCCCGCGCCCTGCTGAACCGATGCGAGACCGCCAGTGGAACCCCTGCAAAGGGCAAAGCACAAGGAGGTATCGAGCGATAGGATTGGCTTGGTGGGGATAGGGGTTGTCGGCGGCGAGGCAAGAACCTGGTCCTGAATAGAAAGGAAGGAAGTATCGAGCAGGGGTGCTGGTGTTTCGGGGAACGGCGCCAATGCAGAACAGAGTAGGGCGCCAGTCCAGCGGGAGCGCTGGTTCTGTTGGGACGGCGGCTGTCGGCGGCGAGGAGGAACACCGTTTTGAGTAAGAAGGGAAGAAGTCTCGAGCGGGAGCCGCGGTTTTGTCGGGACGAGGGCTGTCGGCGGCGAGGAACAGCACCGTCTTCAGGAAAAAGGTAGGAATCTTCGAGCGGGAGCGTTGTTTTTGCTGGGGCGGCGCCAATTCAAAAAAGAGTTTGGCGCCACTCCAACGTAAAACGGGAGGACGTCTCGGGCGGGAGTGCTGGTTTTGTTGGGGCGGCGGTTTTCGGCGGCAAACCAAAGCACCGGCTCTGAATAAAAAAAGAGGAAGTCTCGAGCGGGAGCGTTGTTCTTGCTGGAAGCGGCACCGACGAGAGAAAGACTAGCGCGCGAGTTCAAGGCAGGACGAAAAGAAGTCTCGAACGGGGGCGTTGGTTTTGTGAAGTGGGCGGTTTTCGGCGGCGAGCAAGAGCACCAGCTCTGGACAAAAAGGCGGAAGTCTCGAGCGGGAGCGTTGTTGTTGTTGGGGGGCCAGTTTTGGCGCCCCCCCCAAACCGCTCGAGCGTGAGCCTCATTGCCTGGGGGGGTCCAACAATAATAATTATTCCCCACATCCAAAGTGGGTTTTTTGTTTCCTCTGGACACCCTTCGCGCAGGAACCCCACCTCCCTCCCACTCTCCGCCTCACTCACGCATTCACCCCGTTATCGGTCATCATCACCATCGGTCATCATCACCACCATCATCATACTCAGTCACCCACCATCGATCACCATCACCATCGGCCATCGATCATCATCATCATCATCATCATCATCAACAACAACAACATCACCACCACAGCCATCATCATCATTATCATCATCATCAGCATCATCATCATCATTATCATCATCATCATCATCATCGTCATCATCATCAGCATCATCATACTCAGTCGCACATCACACACACACAATCTCTCCCATCATTCAGCATCATTATCCCTGGACACCCCGCGCAGGAACTCCTCAGGCCTGAATATGGAGGAAGTATCAGGCGAGAGCCTCGTCTGTGAGTGAATTGTGAGGAGGTATCAGGCGAGAACCCCCTCCCTATGGGGCCCGTACTTCACGTTGGTAATCCGAACGCGCCAACCTCATCCGTGTAACTGTCGTCACTCTTGGGCTCCTGAAGCTTGAACACGAAGGAAATCTCAAGCGGGAGCCTCGTCGTTGAGTGAACTGTGAGGAAATCTCAAGCGATAGCCCCCTCCATATGGCGCCCGCAGATCATGTTTCTGAGGAAGTCTCACGCGGGAGCCCCCTCCCTACGGGGCCCGCACTTCACGTTGGTATTCCGAGCGGGTCATCCTCATCCGTGTAACTGTCGTCACTTTTGGGCTCCTGAGGCATGAATATGGACAAAGTATCAGGCGAGAACCCCGTGTGTGCCTGACTTGCGCGGGAGTCTCAGGCGGGAGCCCCCTCCCTATGGGGCTCGCAGCTCATGTTTTAATCCGAAGCGGGTCATCGGAATCCTTTAACTGTCGTCGTTTTGGGGTTCCTGGGGCTTGAAAAGGGGGGAAGTATCAGGCGGGAGCCTCGTTTGTGAGTAAATCGCGAAGAAGTCTCAAGCGGGAGCTCCCTCCTTATGGGGCCTGCACCTCCCGTGTTTCCTCCGGGTCGTCCTCTGGGACGTCCTCCAGCGCGCGTTTCCTCTGGGTCGTCCTCCGGCGCGTATCTCTTGGGACGTACGTCGTGCGCTTCCTCTGGGTCGTGTCCCGCACGAGGAGGAAGAGGAGGACGACGACGACGACGGAGGAAGGAGGATGCAGGACGAGAACGAGAAGGAGGAAGAGGAGGAGGAGGCAGAGGGCGAGAAGGACGAGGAGGACAAGGAGGAAGAGGAGTGCCTTAGAAGGCCACAGGATGTCCCGGGAGGCCCAGTAGGCTCCAGGAGGCCCCAAGACGCCCTGGGAGGAGGCAGGAGGCCTAAGGAGGAGGCAGGAGGAGGGAGAGAAGGAGGGGGAGGAAGATGGAGACGAGGAAGAGTGGGCGGAGGAGGGAGAGGGACAGGAGGAGGCGGGAAAGGGGAGGAGGAAGAGGAGGAGGAAGAGGAGGAGGGCGAGGGAAAGCAGGAGGAGGAGGACGCAGGAGGCAGGAGGAACAGGGGGAATGAGGGGAGGAGGCATAACGAGGAGGAGGAAAAGGAGGAGGTGGTGGTGGAGGAGGCAAGAGGAGGAAGCATGGGTTGAGGCAGGAGGAGGAGCAGGCAGGATCAGGCAGGAGGAGAAGGATGAGGCAGGAGTAGGTGGGTGAAGGGAGGGGGCAGGAGGAGATCCCCAGGCAAGCTAAAGAGATTACCATGCGGGGTCCTACCGTCGGAGTAATCCCGAGCCGCCCTGCGCCGCCCTGCCCGATGCAGGACCTCCGCGCTCGAGGCGCGGCTGCAGTACGCGTGCTGAGTGCGGGTTACTTTCCGCGGGCACCGCGCCCGAATGCATCCACATCTGGAAGGTCTGCGCTCGTGTGCACCCTATGCACACATTGCATGTGGTGCCTGATGCCTCGTTATGACGTTTCTGCATCTGCTTTCGCCCACGCGCTTCGGCGTATGGTTGAGCGTAGCGTAGCGTAGCCATGGTGTGTGCAAGCTATAGAGAAGCTTGCTGACCACCCAAGCGCGTGACCGGACCCGAGATAGAATCTCACACTCCGTCCAGGCTGCCCCAAGCCTCTGGCTGAGTTCCGATCCCAACATGCCGTCCGACGAGAGGACGCAGCCCAAGCAGACGACGCTGCCCGTGTGCGCTACCAAAGTACAAAATGTTAAAACCTCGAAAGCGCTTACACCCATCCGCCTTGTCTGTCGTAAGAGCGCCGAAGACGGCTCAAGAGCTACAAAGAAGGGCCCAGGAGGGCCCAGAACGGCCCCTGTCCAAGAGGGAGAACCCAAAGGCTCTTCGAGGGCCATGCATCCCACCATGGCCCGCCAGACCGCCAGCAAGCCAGTGA